GCCATCTCTGGGGAGATGGACAGCAATCCCTGGGGTGTCACAGTGGATTAACAGGAGAAAGTCTGTGGCAGTGAGATGCTGTGAGCATGGTGGGTTTCAGCTTCCTGGTGCACACACATTGCAACACCCCATTTCTCCCGAGAGCAATGCCATCACCTGGAGTGCTGGATGATTTCCTGTGGGAGGCCTTGTGCCCCCCAGGATGCCCCTTTCCCCTGTCACGTCACCAGGAGCCCTTCACCTCCCCACCACCAACCTGCTGTGGGGCTTCCTCCCTTCCTGGGCAGCAGGCTGGGAGTGCTTACCTGCTGTCCCCTCCCTGCTTCACCCTGCTTTTGGGCACCTGGGAAGAAGCTGTGAGCCAGCACTAGTGGGAGACATAGGGATCGTGGTAGGTTTGAGGGAGGCTGCCCTGAAACAAGTTCACCTGAGGTGAAGTAGGGTAGAGATTTAGGTGTTTAAAACAGGTGGCATGGCCACATATCTGTGGCAGAGATAGCTTTCCAAAGCCCTCAGCTCTCATTTCAGTCAAGCATTTCAGTCACTAGAGCATTTCACAACGTGGAGCTCTGCCACTTGAACCCAGTATCTGCCTTGCTACCCAGCAGCAAGTCTGGGTAGCAGATGGTAAAGTGTTCCAGGCAGTTAGGGAAGAGGGAATGACAGTGACACTTCTGACATCTTGTTAAAGAAACATGCATGCCACTTCATCTCAGATGTAAATATACACTACAGTGGGGTGATTATTAAATAGAGTACTTCATCTTTAGAAATAGGTGTCTTTTTAAGAGGTGTCTGCCTGTGGAATCAAAATTTCCAAGACTTCTACATGAGGTAGCCAGATAATTTATTGACTGCTTAGTACCTCTCTGAATCTACTTTCTGACACTGTGATTTTTGAATACTTATTTATGTTCCAAGGACCTGCTATATGCCTTTTTTGGGCAAAGCTATTTTATTTTCCTTCTCTGTATATTAGTGACTTCGAAGGGAACCAGTGAATAGCTCTCATTGGAGCAAGCACAACCACTTGGCTCAATGCTCACCTGGTATCTATCTGAACAAGGGAAGGATCATTCATTTCCATTTAGCATATTTAGCAAACATTTCCACTCAGCCATTAGTCTGCCTTCTGAGAGACAGAAATGGAACACATTTTCCATTTAGGATGTTATTGTGACGTGGCTGTAACTTTTGAACAGCTATCAGATGGTGACATGATTTTCAGGGGTCTTTAGAAAGAGCAGGCCTGGCAGGGCTTTCATTTCCTGACCTGCTGGAAAGACCTGGAACACACTGTGATGCATGAGTGGTTCACCCGCCTCTGCTCAGAGCCCTGGCAAACAGAGGCCAATGGAGTGAGCACCACTGAAAAGCCTGGGATTGGCACAGTCCTTCCAGAGCCCAAATCAGTGAAGGTGCTGCCCCTGTGGAGCTTCTGGCAGTGATGAAGTTCCTGGCACACAGGCGTGTAGAAGCAGCAGGAGTGGGTCTGAGGCTGTGCAGTAGCACCATTCATCGTCACTGGTCCTCCCTGGTGCCCATTCAGAGGTGATCTGCAAGTGCTGCTCTCTGACACATGAAGGGGCTGAAGATCCATCCTCCTTCCCAATGACTACTTTGGGATATTTTAGGCTAAGATAAGGACAGTCTTCTTGACATAATTTTTCTTTCATTTCATTTTTCTTTTTTTTCATTGCTGCTGTCTGGGCTGAAAAGCAAAGTGATGGAGAACTATGATATTGACATAGGGATGCCAAGGACCTTTGGCTGGGCACTGCAATTGCCATGTAAAATTATGCTAGTTTTCAACTTTGGAAGTAAAGCAACTTTTATTTTTCACGCTCTGTTACCCTGGTTTCATGGTACATTGGTGCCTCAGTAAAGAAACCTGCCAGTCATCAGTTTGCAGACAATAAATTTGTAAGTGAAGAGCAACTGTCATGACAGAGCCAGCAGCCGAGCCCAGGACTGGACTTTCCCCTGGCTGGGTGTGCTCAGTGGAGACACACTGGTTGGGCTGCTGCAGGCAGGACTGCAGGCAGCTCCCAGCCCCTGGTGGCCATCCAGCCCTGGCCCAAAGCCAGCGGTGTCTGCGTCACGGCCCTGCTGGTTGTGCAAGTGCCCCTGCTACCAGACTGACCTTGCAATGGCTTTTGTAACCCCGCTGGCACGGCTCTGGAGGACTTTGCCCTCTATCCCCCTGGACCCTGGCTGACCCCAGTGCCTTTGCTCAGCTCTGACCAGCCACAGCAGGAGCTGGGAAGCCTGAAATTCAGGCTGGGAAGGTCTTGGTGCTGCTGGACACACAAAATTGGAAGCTCCCTTTTGGGCATCTGGTAGAGTTTTTGGCTCCTCATGCTGTCTGCAGCCACCCAGAGCTCAGGGCACCAGGTTGCACGTGGCTGAGCAGCCCTGGTCCAGGCAGTGAGCTGGCAAAGCTTGAGGTTTTGCCAACTCCCAGCCACGAAAACAAGGGTTGGGAACTGGCACCTTCCCAGGTGCCCGGCTGGGCTGTGTCCTCTCCCCAGCCGTGTGCCGGAGGGTTGCTTTGCTGAGGTAAGGAAAACAAGTCATGGCAAAGGCCACCTGGGCTGTGCCTAGGTTTATCACCCTGCAAAAGTGAACTGCTTGTTCAATAGCAAATTCCTCTGTGAATTCCCTACTTGAATTGCGTCAAACATAGATTTAATTATTAATAGATTTTTGTCCTTCCAGGGCAGCTTCAGAAGACATGGAAAGGTTCTCTCTCCTCCATGGGTACACCCTGGAGTTTGGGTGAATCTGCTGTTCTTCTCACACAACAGCTGTACTTTCTGCCTTTATTGTGTTCTAGTTTATTTTTGAAACTGCAGCTGCTCTATAGATGTGGTTTTGAAGAGAAAAACAGACTGAGAGAAAAACCATCATCAGTAGAGAGCTTGTAAGACTATCACAATTTATGCTTTGATAATCACAAAGGAAATTAGTAACAAAGACAAACAGATAAAATTACAGATGAGAATAACAGAATTGGCACAAGCCTCCAGGGATGAAACTGGGATGCAATCGGTCAGAGCCAAGAGGGTTCAAAGCATCAACATGGTACAAGAGATCAAACCCAGCTCTAGAAATGAGACAGAAAAGTCTGAACAAGAAAGCAAATCAGGTAGAGGATGGGCAGAAAGAAAAGCTAACTCCATCATCCTGGAAGACTCTGGATATCTGTTCTCCCAAGTTGTCTCTGAACCCCTAAGAAGCCCTTCCAAAATCTAGGCAAGAAGAGTGGTACCAGCTGATGAAAGAAAGACAAACAATGGACCTGCCTTCAAAGGGGAAGGAAAGTTCCTTGCACTATGAAAACTGAATGACCTGACAATGACAAATGTGGCTGGAATGGAGAGTAACACAAAGAAAGACGAGCAAATTTGTGGTGAGCTGTATGCAGGAGACAGTGGGGAAGAGCTGGGCCAAGGAGAGGCTTGAGGAGATGGTAATAAGAAAAGATTTAGAAGACATGATGTGAAAGAAGCATGTTTATTTTTCATAGGAGAAAATAAACAGCAGGCCCATGAAAAACAGTCTGCAAGATTAAAAGGCTGGTAGAACAATGACAGGGATCAACCAGCACTGCCCAAGCCAAGGTGCACTTCCTGCACTGGGGAAAGCAGGATCAGCTGTTATGCTTAGGAAAGACAAGTCAGAGATCTTATTATATGCCAGTGAAAAAGACAAGTCCCATCTTTCTGATGGCACCTTGCATTTGCTTCCAGCCCTGGAGGCCAATTTAGTCCCTGGAAAGGTCAGAACTCCCCTTCCCCTGTATCCAGAGGCATGCCAACATACCTGCACAAAACCAAAACAGACAAGAGTTTTCTCCTGCTCAGGGAGGTTGTGAAACCCCCTCTGTTTTTACTCCCAATTCTCCTGATTTGTTAAAGATTGTACCCTCCCCTGAGACCTGCCCCCAGATATAAGCTCCTTTTTCCCCCAGTCAGGGTCCCGGGGGCAGAAGAAGAGGAAGTTTACCATCAAATAAAGTTACCCCGGGACCGGTGTGCTGCTCTGTGTCTCTTACAGCTGGCAACTGGGATTCAGCGGGACTCGAGGGGGTTCTGCCACCCCACCCCCGTGGGTATTCACCTAGCCGGGAGGAGCGGCACCTGATGATCCTGGAGGTCTTTTCCCACCTAAATGATTCTACTACTCTCTCTTGTCTCCAGAGGATGGCTATAACCACCCTAAGCCCAGCAGGCAGCAAGCTGGAGGGAAAAAACCTTGACAGCAGGCACTAAAACACAGGGAACACAGGGATCAGCTTCTGTGCCCTAATGCTATCTTCCTGGCAAGAGAAAGCCTGAGAAAAAGAAGGATGAGCCAGGGGCGCTTAAGCAGACCCAGGTCTAATGCCACGCTGCCAGCTTGTCCTGGTTCCTTCCGCAGCATCCCTCACAGAAGGCATCTGCCTCCCCTAGGCCCCCTCAGCAGTTCATCAAACCCAAGAAGAATCCAGTATGCCCGGGCGGGTGGGGAGCCACATTTTCAGAAGGAAGCCCGTTCAGACTGGCTGCGGGCAGTGCCCTAATTTCAGCACAGGAATTTGGGGCTGCTCTTGGCCTCTCTGCCCTGACACGGGGCGCTGAAGCAACAAGGCCACGGAAAGCGGGGGTGAACAAGAAACAAGAGCACCCAGGCCCCAGCTGCCTGTGTTGGGGCCCAGACCCCGCTTATCGGGGGCTGCTCCTTCATCTCCCCCCAGCCCAGCGCCTCGCGGGCTCCCACAGGGGAGCGTGCTGGGGGAGCGCCCTGCTCTCCACGTGGAGACGCAGCGGGCGTGCCGGGGGGGATGCGGGTGTCCGAGCGAGCCATCCCAGCGGAGGATGTTGTATCCCTATTGCTGCAAAAACCCGGGCGGCCGCGCCGGGCTGCCGGCGGGGCGGGGCGGCCGTGAGGGCAGAGGGCGCCCCTTGCTGACATCACCGGCGGGGAACCTCCTCCGGGCCAGACCACTCCACAGCGGGGTAGGGGAGGCGGGAGCAGCCATGAGGCGCGTTCTTCCTACCGCGGCGTCCTCCGCCAGCGGCAGCGGGATCGGCGGGACGGCCGTGGAAAGCGGACTCGCCGGTCTTCGCGGACGAGCTTGGTGGGCGGGCAGCGGTGCCGGGAGGGTTTGTTTGTACCTTGTCACTCCCCCCCTCCGGTGAGGGTGGTAGCGCCCACAGTACGCGCCGCGCGGGGCGCCGCCGCCGCTTCTATAAGCGCGGCCGCGGGGCGGGCTCGGGGCTGGCTGCGCCGCTGCTCCCGCCCGATCGCTGCCGCTCCCGCTCCGTCCCGCCGGGAGCATGTACCAGAGCTCCGCGCGCTGCCTCTGCTCGGCCCTTCCCGCCCTCTGCTGCGCCCCCGCCGCCGCCTCGGCCTCCCGCCTGCCGCTGCCGCGGCCCTGCTCCCACCCGCCAGGCCCCGGCCCCGCCGCGCCGCAGGCAGCAGCGGGCCCGCCCGCCCCGGGGGCGCCGCCCCGCACAGGTGGGTACGGGCCGAGGAGGGTGCGGGAACCGCGCGGGGCCACAGCCGGTGCCGGAGCGGGATCTGGGCTCTCCTGCCCGCGTCAGCGCCTTCCCTGTGCCCTCGCCAGCCACCTCTCCGGGACCGGCCCGCGGGCCCTAAGGCAGCGGCCGTGGCGTTCGGCCGCCCGGTGGGAGCGGGCAGCATCCCTCAGCATCGCGGCAGGCGTTTCTGGCCCGGTGTCCTCCGTGTGAGGGAGAGGGCACCCTCCGCGCTGGGTGCTTGGAGTCTGCCCAGGTGTCGGCGGGCTGACCCGGCTGGTGAGCCGGAAGGTCCGTGTCCGCATGCCGCTGTCGGGAGCCTGCTCTCGGCTAGCTGAGCTGCCCTCCTTAGCGCTGCGCTTTGTGTGGGGTGAGCTTGACTCACAGCGAGGGCTTTTCACTCGTGACAGTGAGTGGGGACAGCCCAGGTTACCCCCTGGCAGGCAGCAGGTCCCTGTTAGCCTGCACTGTTAAATTATTACAATCTTGGAAAGTGCACAGGTGCCCTTGTGTGCCTGCGCGGACACCACCTTGGTGCGGTGCCCCCACCGCAGCCCTGTGGCCGGATCCAGCCTGAAGCCATCTCTGCTGGCTCTGGCCGTGGCTCAGAGTGCCCACCCGGAGCCGTTCCTGCTGAAAGCTGGGCTAGCAGGGTAGCAGCCACCGTGCTCCAGACTTGCTGTGGGTGGGGTGATAGGCCCAGCTCTTTGTCACTGAATGGCTTGGATTGGAAGAGACCTTACAGGTCATCTGGTTCCAGCCCTCCCTCAATGGGCAGAGACACGTCTCACTAGACCCACTGGGTTGCTTAAAGCCCTATCGAAGCTGGGCTTGGACACTTGCAGTGCTAGAACAGCCGCAGCTTCTCTGCGCAATATGTTTGAGGCTGTATTACATAACTGGCATGCAAGAGATCCACTTTCCCCTACTGCCTTCAGCTGGGGTTGGGGTGAAGTGAGTTCACTCCCTGTTGCTGCTGTTACAGGAGGAGTGTAAAAGCCAGGCTGGGGTAGGGTGCTTCCATTCCTCCTGTTGAGGCTAGGCCAGGATGCCATATGGCAGGATTGAAGGTTCATGGCACTGCAGGGAAGAGGAGCATATGCATCTGAGAGCTGGCAGAATTGAGCTCGTGATTAATAAAGCACTCATGAAGATAAAGGTTTCCAGAGTTTGTGCCAAGTACTGATTCCCTATATTACTGGAGGCAGGATTTGAGGTTCCCTCTTCTTTCTGGTGTTGCCTGTTGAGAACAGGCAGCTTCTGCCTTGCTCTGACAAACTCATTGCTGTCCCAGACAGGGCTGTACATGTAGTATGATACCTTGGTAGCATAGATTTTGTCACATGGGATGGTGCCTGTCAGGTTGTTCCTGGAACTGGGGTTCCAAGGAGGGCATTGCTAGCTGCTGCCAGCCTCTGGGGCCGTGGAGGCGGATGCAGCTCCAGACTGCAGGTGTGTGGAGTCATTCACCTGGCAGGGAAAGCCTTGTGGTAAACAGGGTAGGGCTTCTGGCTGAAAGGGGTGTGGGAGGTATGACCTGAAAAGAAGGGAAATGAGAAAGTTGTTCACTGTACCCAGAAGGTCAGGGCCCAATACCCTTCTGCAGCAAAGTCCTTAAAGAAAAGTCTCTGATGGCTCATTGCCTGAGATCCTAGAAGTTCATCTCTTGTGTGCTGGGTGATGCAAGAAACCTTCCAACTTTACACCCTCTTGTTACATTTAATTCTTACTTTGAATTCTTCCCTTGCCCTTACTATGCTGAGGTACCATCCTTGCTGAGAGGAAGGAACTTTTTGGTTTTAATCACCTTGAATAGTAATTGCTGAGTTGATGTTCCGTGTTACATAACACCAGGATAATCACTTTCATATTTGCTATCCACTGCTACAGTGCAAGCTCAGAAGTCTGCTTGTGCCTCTGTCCTCACCAGCTCCACAGTGTCACAGCACTGGCAGCACACATTATCCCAGCAAGTTACAGGTCGCTTAACTTGCACTGTAATATTCAGAGTGGTGATCTTATCCTTGTATTGTATAGCTGGACTGCTGTGGGTATGGTTCAGCATTGCAGAAATAACAAAATGCATTCTGTGTTTGGAGCTTTCATGGTCAGATTGTTGGCCTGGCCCCTGTGCTGCAGAACACCTGAGTCTGTGTTGTCATGATTCCAGCACTGGGTATGAAGCACTTGTGCAGGTAAGCAGGCATCTTTAGCTGGAACCTTCCCAAGGAGCCCCCTCCTTCAGCCAAGAACTTTCAAGCCACCTATGCCAGGACTGAAAGTGCTTAATTTACATCCAGGCCCTCTTTCACATAATTGTCTCTGGGCCCTCAAAAGAAGACTGAAGCTCTTTTTCCTTCCTGAGACATGACTGACTTTAAAAGCTGTCAGATCATTTCTGGGCCATAGTACAGGTTAGGCCATGCTTTATGCCCCATAAAGAGCTGGATACACCACGATTTCAGGGATGATGGGATTTAGACAATACTCTGGCTTTGTTTGCAGCTTGGCAGGTGGAGGCTGAGCTTGGCCTTGATCCTGCTGTAACAGCTGTAAGCCGCTCAGGGCTTTGCCAGCAGACCTTTGACTCCAGCTGTGTCACACCTACCTTGTCCCTTTTAATGTCATCCCTCTGACTCAGGTCATGCCACAAGCAGCCTAAGGGCTTGCTAATGGCTTCTTGCAGGGTTGTTATTTCCCAGTGCTCCTTTGGAGAGCCCCACATGAGCCATGCTCATCCATGGCATGGTAGGGGCTCTGCTCAGCTGCTGACAGCAGCCCTGATGCAGCAGAAAACACTGTGCTTATCTCCAGTTGCAGCATTCAGCCATGGGTTGTACCTGTCCTAAAAATAGGTGAGTGGCTCCCTGTGGAGCATCTATTAAAAGCTCTACTGATTTCTTTGGGTTTCTACATGGCTGCCTGGCAGCCCTGGTTGTGTGTAAACTGCACCCTTCTGTATCCAGCACAGAGTGTGTTTTCATTCCTGCTCCCACTCCCTTCACAGCTGTGTCAGGATCCTGCCTAGGGATTTTGTGTTTCCCCTCACTAGTAAATGCCACTTCTACTTCAGCAGTATTTGGCTTCTTGAGAAATAAATTTCTTTGTAAACTGAGAAAGACTGCAGAAACTGAAACACTACACATAGCTTCCCTGGAAAGACGTGTGTGAGCTCAAGATCACATCTCAGTTTGAGGAACTGCTATTACTTTAACTAAGAGGACAAAGATGAGGAGAAACATCCTATATCTAATCTAAATTCCCATTTCACAACTTTCTTGGAAAAAAGTTCTTTTCCATGGGCTTACACAAAACACACATTAAAGCAAGTAGGTTTCAGTAGCTTTTAAAAGTATCCATTTTCCTAAATACAAGGACGTGGGGCTTATACTGGAGAGTCTTTTTTTTTCCTCCTGAGTATGTTTGTTGAACTGTAAGGGTGTCCATCTTACTGCCTGCCCCTCTACCCTGTCATTACTGTATGTCTGTCACCAGCTCTTAAAATTGATAGTGCTGTAGTTCAGTCTGAACATGCAGGTGTGCTGGGTAGCGTGCCAAATCTTCTGCAAGATATGAGCACAAGTTGACGATTTCATCCTCTTCCTTTGTAAAGTAACTCAAATGTACAAATAAACCTACTTAGAAACCACTGTGAGCCAACAGCAGTGCAACACTGAAGTTCTTTTGCTTAAGATTCCCTTTGCAAAAGGCATTCAGAGTAAATAAGGAAGTTGGGACAACAACAAAACTCAGCGTTGCCTCTTATGCAAGTTGCTGTAGTGCAAGCACTGCCCTTCCTGCCTATGCTTGAAAGAGCCCTCCCTGAGACAGGGCTGGAGAGCTCTTGCACACACAGTGTAGAGATACCACAAAATGTGCAGAAGGGAAAAACAGAGCAGGGACACACGTGCATCCCTGTCCTGTGGCAGCTGTAAGCCCATGTGGGATAGGGGGCCCTCCCTGCAGGGGACACAGGGCTGGGCGAGGGCCAGCTGCATTAGCAGGGAGAGCTGGAGACAGCAGCTGGTGTGCAGGTCATGTGGGTGAGGTGGTCAGAGGAACAGGAGGTGACTGGGGCTAGGGAGGACTGCAGGGAGTGCTGGAGACTGCTGAGCTGGGGCACAGCACAAAAGAGGGAGCACGAAGGGAGAGAGGAGGGTGGGGGGAATGAACTTAGGGATGTGGAGCTGGGAGACACTGCCTTCTCCACTCCGCATCCTGCGGTCAAGCCAGCAGAAGCCTCTAGCTGCTTCATTCTCATGACAACATTACTGCTTTGGGGATAAATGACACTGATCAGAGATTCCTATTAAATACTAACCCTGAGGGTTAGTCAGGTTAACAAGTCTGCAGCCTGGAGGCATTCCATATGGACTGAGTGTACCAGGCCATACAGAGTGCCATCAGAAGCAAATGCTGAACATAAAATAAGGAGCAGGCAGCATTTGTCCACCTGCTGGACTCTCTCCTCTATGAACAGGGAAAAGGTGTGCTCTGTTGTGTTTTCTACAATATATGCAGAGTTAATTTTAGCCCTGCCGTTCTGGTTGAAAGACTTCTTTATTGAAGACAGCAGCATCATGTCTTAAAAGCAGGCTGTTTGCAGGCTGCAGCCCCTGGTGACAGGCAGAACATCAGCCTGCACAGGACTAATTTTATCTCTACATCCTTCTTATTTTGTCTAGACTCAGGAACAGGCTCCTGCACTAACCACTAATGGCTGGCACTGCAACAAGGTACTCGGGTGATGAGAAGAGTTGTGGTGGACCATCTCTAACACCAGCTTTTCCCTTGCAGTGTGTTCCATGGGAAACAGCACAAGCCGGCTCTACAGCGTACTTGCCAAGACGCTGAGCAGTGGTGCTGTGTCCCAGCACCAGAACTGCCTGGAGCAGCTGGACTCAGCACAGCTGGATCCTATAGACCCCAAGGATTTGCTGGAGGAGTGTCAGATTGTTCTGCAGAAGCGGCCACCCCGGTTTCAGAGGAACTTTGTGAACCTGAAGAAAAATATGGCCAGTAACCACCGCCCCATCCGGGTCATGCAGTGGAACATCCTCGCCCAAGGTAGGAAATGGTTGTGAGCTCAAGGTATGAGCTTGAGATCAAATGCAGCAATGAAAACCCTGGCAGAGCAGAGGGAGAGGAGTGAACTACATGAGACACAACTGACTGAGGGCCAGCAGGAATATTTTGAGCACTTTAAATAGTGGCTTTCCTTCTGTCCCATAGGAAAGGAGAAAAAGGTCTCTCCTTGAAACTCTGATGCCAGAGGTAGTCCTGAATTCCTGTCTGAACTGAGCATAGTGTATTCTAAAAGCTGTGAGGTATCAGTTTTAGATGGTTGTTAACCCCAGAGAAAACTCATCCTTTTCCTAAGTTTTATTTGTAAAGTTTCTCTTCAGTTTCTGATTACCCTATTGGTGAACTATCCATAATTTCAGATCTGCTATGGGAATTCTTAATGCTTAAAAATAATTTTAACTGCTGATTTTCGATCAAGGCTGTAAGTTCATGAGTGCAGCAGCCTCATCTTAAACTCTTTTGGTGTGGGCAGTTTCCCTCATAGGGACTGCCTTAACCTTCTGCAGTCTCTTTCAACCCACTTCATTTTATTTTGGCTTATGCTGCAGCAGCCACATGTGTAAGTACTTGCCCTTGTGTAGTGGACAGAGGGGGAGAGAGTCCTAATATATCTTTTATCTGTAAAAAGAACTTAATTTTTTTTGAGTGACTCCAGTGCCTTGAGAAGGGGTTCTCACACCTGCTGGAAGATTTGGTACCCTTAAAGTCACCACATGTAAACTGATAAAACATGGAGCATGACAGGCTGTTTCAGCTATTGGTAACTTTGGGGTTTTTTGTTTACCTTCCCTGCTAATTCCAGCTCTCGGGGAAGGCAAAGACAACTTTGTTCAGTGCCCCATGGAAGCTCTGAAATGGGAGGAGAGGAAGTGCCTTATCCTGGAGGAGATCCTTGCATACAAGCCCGACATCTTGTGCCTTCAGGAAGTCGACCACTACTTCGACACCTTTGAGCCGCTCCTCAGCCGCTTGGGCTACCAGTGCACTTTCTTCCCGAAGCCGTGGTCACCGTGCCTCGACGTGGAGCACAACAACGGCCCGGATGGCTGCGCCATGTTCTTCCTCAAGGAGCGCTTCGAGCTCGTCAGCAGTGCCAACATCCGTCTGACCGCCATGAAGCTGAAGACCAACCAGGTGGCCATTGCTCAGACGCTGAAGTGCCACGAAACCGGGAGGCTCTTCTGCATCGCCGTCACCCACCTGAAGGCCCGCACGGGCTGGGAGAGATTCCGCTCTGCTCAGGGCTGTGACCTCCTCCAGAACCTGAAGAACATCACCCAAGGAGCAAAGATCCCCCTGATTGTCTGCGGAGACTTCAATGCAGAGCCGACCGAGGAGGTCTACAGGGAGTTTTCAAACTCTAGCCTCAACTTAAACAGTGCATACAAGCTGCTGAGCCCCGATGGACAGTCGGAGCCCCCCTACACCACCTGGAAGATCCGGCCCTCTGGAGAGTGCCGGCACACGCTGGATTACATCTGGTATTCCCAGCATGCCTTGAATGTGAACTCAGCCCTGGGCTTGCTGACTGAAGAGCAAATTGGGCCCAACAGGCTGCCCTCATTCAATTACCCTTCCGATCACCTGTCCCTTGTGTGTGACTTTAGCTTTAATCAGGACCCTGACAGACTGCTGTAATGTCTTAGAACACCACCTGGTATTACAGTGTCTGAACTCTCCAGTCTTTTATTTTAGAGAAAACCTTGGAAGCTAGATGCTATTGAAAGATGAGGAAATAGTGTTGACTGACCATTATTTTCAGGCACTTGTTTGGAGTTACACTTGCTGTTCAGCCCTCATTGATGTGCAGCCTTCAAGGGAGGAAGAAGGAAGCCAGTGTTCTTGTCATGCTCTTCTCGCCGCGTCAGGATTTGAAAACTAGAAGGCAAATGGCTTTATTCTTTCACTAAGCCCCCTGTTTTCAGGATTTGATCCTCTAATGAATGTGAGGGCCTTAGTATTTAAATCAAAACACTTGTGTTTGTAAAACATCTTGCCCCGACAACAATTTTATTTCATGTTAAGCTTTTGCAAGTACCAAAGGGATGAGGTTCGACTACCGAGTGAGATTATCTTAAATCTTTTTCTGTTGCAATACAAAGGAAGTTTAATGCAGTTTAGACAAAAAGCTAAACTTATAATAGTGTTCTCTTGTCATTTTTCTATGACCTGAGATGATAAATTCATTAGAAATGTGAGGAAGGATCCCTCCAGTAAGAGCAGGTGAGGAAAGAGAGGTTGACTATGACCTAGAGTAATACCCTCACTTCTCCAGAACAAAGTGCATGTATCTGTCACACGCAGACAGCCTGTAGGCTGTACAGTGACTGTACCTTCATCTCTTCTGTGCTTCTCTCTGGAGGACACAGCTAACCAGGGACTATTTCGTCCTCTACTTTGAGTATTTCTTTTCTAAATGGTTTAAATTTGTAGTCTTGTCAATCTTGCTGTTTCAGTAAAGGGCCAGTCTTAACATTGAAATATTTTCTTTTATTTATCTTCAGAATCTAAAGCTACACTGGAAGCTGTTTTAAGATAAAATTTATTTATTGAGAGAAGTTGGTGATCCTGCATCTGATTGGAAAGCGTAGAGTGACAGTTTTCAGGAGCCTCTTCCTGTGACCCAGGGAAGCTCTGGCAAAGCATCTGGGCTACAACAGAGGTGTGTTAGTTTAGTGTGTTAGTATAGTAACTCCTTTGACTGCTCACAGCGACACAGAAATTGCATATTTGGGTTGTAAACATGCCATTATGCCAGGAAATGGCATAGGAAGAGAGTTGGGAAGGGGGACAACAGTTGGAGTTGTGCTGACATTTAGACAGTTGAGGAAGATACGGCAGGGCAAATAAAGAAGTATTTCTTTGTGGAGCAGGTACATAGTAACTCTTAAATGTTTAATAATAAAACTCTTAACTGTTTAATAATAAAATTCTTTGGAAAAAAGTAATATCTTGGCTGCTGTCTTTCTCACTTTGTTGTCCCAAGTTCCTGTTGCCAAGGAGGTGACCTGTGTCAACTAGTTTGAGCTTCAGGTTGCTGCTGATGCTTCCCCTTCCAGACCTCTTTTCCTCCACCCCTAACCATAATCTCAGAGTGGCATGGCTGCTTTTCCTTCACAGCACACACTCTTTCTCCAGCTTGGAATGTCCAGATTTCACAAGTCTGAAAGAAAGGAGTTATGCTTAGCTGTTAAGCTGCTCACTCATCTGGTTAGAGGGGAAACCTACACTGTATTAATTTAAACATTCCCCTCTCCAACAGCTGCGTGGAGCTACAAACCTGCAAAGCGAGGTGCAAGAATTCCTCCCTGAGGGCTGCTAAATGTGCCTGGGAAGGCTGGCCCCTTACAAGATGCAGCTGTATCTGCCACTTGCTTCTAAAACCTCATTTGAAGAGAAGAAGCGCCACAGGTGTGAGCTTTACACAGCCCATAAATTACTATACTTGCATTGGTGAGAAGGAAAATACAGAGTCTGGTGACTGGAAGTCCCAAACTCCCACACAAACACACTCCTCATCAGGCAAACAAATGAAGTGCTGTTGTGGAGCTGTAACATGCTCTGCACATGTTCCTGACCCTTGCAGGATGAGGGCGATGGTCTGCTTCCAAGCAGAGGCTCCTTTAACCAGCTTGGGGTTTATGTGGATTTGACTTTCCCCAAAAGAAAAGATTTTATAACCAAGGAGCCAGTGGCCTTGGTGAATACTGTTACCAGGCATGTGCAGTATGCCAGCACCACCTTTGGCTGGAATTTCAGAAGGAGCAAATTGTGTCCCTGGAAGCCAGAAGGGTGGCACTTCTGGGGGAGATTTTGGGCAAGAGATGCAACACTGCCAAGGCCCCACAGAAAGACAGACCTTTGAGCGTTGCTGCCATACCAACTAGACACTGACAGCTTCCTTTTTATGGTGCTGGCTGCCCTCACTTGTGCAGAGGGGGTGAGATGCAGAGCTTCACCTTTACAATTATTTTCTCTTAGGACCTTCCCCCAAATAGCCTTGCAAGGAGAAGAAATTATACAAGTGCCTGTTAATTAACATCTGTAGTCATCTGCAGCTAAACACTTCTAAAATCAACACCACAATGTAGACCTATAAGATGGTATCTTTAGGAGGTCAAATCCTTGCTAATCTACCACAAAAAACTCACACCAGAAGCTGGAGCTTCCATCCAGACTCCTTTTGGCAGTATTCTCTCTCTGGAAGAAACTATATTTGTGGTAGAAAGCCCTTACCTGAGAGCCACGATCAAGTCTGTATTTAAGAACAAACTAAACCATAACCAAAAAACCCCACCACTCCCACCAAAAAGCCCATGGTTTCATTTCACTTTTGTATGAGCAGCTCTGTTTTCCTCAGGCCAGTCAAGGTGTCCATCAGTGTGGCACCTTTCCCACTGCCACAGACCCGATTATGGGAGGCTTTTTTACCAGGAGGAACTGAATTATCACAGCTGCTGAATGCCCACTGTCACTCTCACAGTGGAGTATATGGTATCTGTGATTCTTAAGACATTTTAATTTATACCCTTGCTTGCATCCCTTGCTTGATTCTCCTAAACAAGAAATCAAACTGTTGAGAAGAGCATGATTTGTATGGTACTGCCGTCACTGCAGAACCTCTCCTGAAGTGGAAAGGGCTGGGATTCTTCTTTCATCCTGGACATGTTACAGTAGATGTTCACTGCTTAAAGGGTAATTTTGAAGTCAAGGCGGGGATGGAATAACTGAAAAGGCTGGGGACTCTTCCCATCTCAAGGCAATTTTTAATACTGTCCTACTCAGAAAATCCCTGCCAATGTTGAACCCTTTCTGCTGGATTAAAAAAAAAAAAGGTAGATAGGCTGCAGAAATTAACTGGTAAGTTTCCAGGCAGCTTCACCCTTTTTTTCCAGTACATGCCATAGTTTATTTTGCAGACAGACTCTTTTGGAAAACTTAAATGGATTATTGCTCTTGCTTTGTTTTATGCAGTGAGAGGCAAGCCTGCAGCACTGAAATACTTTTGCCAGCTATAAATATCAGTACACTAAATATTTTTCAGAAGCAGAAAGGATTTTTCTTCCTGTGTAGCAGTATGACTCTTAACAATAAAAAATGTCTTCCAAGCTCTTCTTATAAATGTATACCTTATAAGAACACCAAGGCTAAAAAAAGGCTCCACAGATCCCTTGCTTTTATCTTGAATAAAGCCTGCCTTAGCTTTAGCAGTGACACTTTTCCCTCACTCTCAAGCAAGCTGCAAGAAGAAATGACCCACTTGTTTAATTTGCTGAGAGGCAGAAGCTGTTGCTTATTAAAACACTGTCTCTCCTGGAGAACAATTAGGTTCCAAATACACAGTGTCATTTGGATCTTCCTAATAAGCTTAACACCTGCTATTTGAACTGTCTCTACAAGGCAGAATTGCACTTAGCTTGTTCTGGCAGTAACAATTTCACACGTAGCTGAGATCCCTGATGCACATGTCGTGCTGAATACCAACTTGAGGCTTCAAGCACCTCTCAATTTTCTCAACTTCTGACTGGCCCTGGCTCACTCATCTGGATCACCTGAGATGTAACTCTCCAAAGCCCTAAAGTTGATGAAATCAATTAGCAGAGCATCCCAAGCCTTCCTTTCAGCACATTTTACCCAGACAACTTGAGATGTGTCAAGGCCCAGACCCCTTCACAGGGAAAGACGTGCAAGAGATCTAACAAGAACAGTTGTCTCTGGAATGAGATTCCCCGTTCAACTTTTCTCATTTTTCATACTCAGACATTTATTCTGAGTTGCAACTCACAGCTGAGATTTTTTTCCCTTGTGGATTACAAAACATCACCCTTTTCATTCTGTAACTTAGAACAGTGGGTTTGACAAATAAAAATAGCTTTTATCTGCAAAATCAGTGGTACCAAGTCTGTGTATGTCTCAATGCCTTCTGCATAAAGCATACTCACTTCACACAAGTTTCATTCTCCCCACACATCTACGAGTTACTGCTTGCCAAGGATGAGTTAAGCCTGGACCCTTCTACATGAACCACCAGATTCAGATGTAAAAGGGAATTCCACTTTCACCCATGTACAAAACAAAACATTTTTCAATGAGATTTCAAAAGCCTGGAGTATAGCTAGATACCAACCATTTCAATATTCTAGCGTTCCTTTCATCTGTTCCAGATGTTACAAACCTGACCAAAGCTCCCTCATCCTGAGGTCACGTTCTCCAATACCACCAGTAAAAACATACTTACGTACAGAATCAGGTTAAGTCCCCTTTCCATTTCAGTTCCAGCGCATCCTCACACACAATGAGATTCTCACAGCACTCCATGAACTTCAGGTGAGTATCCTCTGGCAGCCAGCCAGTATCCTGTGCCACTCACTGGTGGCCAGGGGAGAGAGCCAAAGGACCATCACTGGTTCCATGGCAAGACACAGCACTGGCAGTGTCTCAGAGTTGGCTATGTGCTCACTACCCTGCCAGCAGTGGAGTTGGGTGCCTTCGTTCCTCTAGTTTTTGCCATTACATAATGAAGTCTTGGCATTACAAGAAGGTCATCAGCTGGAGATCCTTATCTAATTCTAGGAAGATAAGTTTGTCCCCATTTGACTTCCAGTGTATCTAAATTAGGTGTTGGAAAGGTCTTAATTACAAATACTTGACATAGATACTTCATGCTCTGAGATACAATCAAGTAACAGCCATCTAGAAGAGGGTTTCTTACAGACTGGACTTACAACAGTAGGTTTAAAAACACTTGTTTCTCTCTTCTTATCTTTTGGCTCAGATTTCTACCACCTGCCTCTCTTTACACTGCTCCATTTCCCTTTACACAGAACATTAGTACCTCTCAGACTGCCAAATTAATCAAGTGATTGCCCAGCTCCCCCTACTTCCCTTTCTTACCTTTCTTAGAAAAAAAAGTTGTCTTTTCTCTCCCTTTCCTTGTGTGAAGGGGTCTTAGTCCTCTACCCCATGCCAGAAATACAGTTCAGGTGTAAGAACTTTTGATTGTTTGGATTGCTGCCTTACACACACTTTTCTATCTGCTTCAGCTTCATTTTGTTCTTGAACTCCACCTCCCTGCTCAAGAGGATGAAAAAGAAGTTTTTCCAGAAGCCTTTCATAGTTTCCCCAATGCTAGCCTGGCTGTGTGGAGCTATTTCCATTTTTCTTACCAGTTCAGGGGAAGAATGGGCCTTGCTGCTAGGATGCTACAAGTAACCTGGTTCTCAGCATGTAAACTATTTCATTCTGTGTCTTCCAGCATTACAGAAGACGCCAGTTCCAGACAGCTGCTAAAACTGCTCCTCCAGGCATGAAGTACTTAGATTTAGACTTCAGCTAAATTTCAAGATTACCCAGGTTCCTGTCCTGAAGACTTTTCAGGGCATATCACTAGGAACTGGGGGTCCATTGGGCACTTGACTACCCACAGCATGATGTGCCAGCGTGGTGCTCCTGAAATCAGGGCAAGATACATATGAAGCCATGCAGACTGGAAACATGGAACCAGTATCTGGTGTAGCTAGAGGAGCAGTTAGGTAGCTCACAGAGCCCATGTGTATGCTCACCATCCTGAAAACGTGTAAGAACTAGGCCCCTGCCAGAAGTTACCTCACCAGCTACAGCAAGCTTCTCAGATATTTAAACAAATGAGTGAGAGAGTTGGTCAGCCCTTTGAAGCAGGGAGGAGTCCCAAAATTTCACACTGTATCATCTATATTAGGATGAATGCCTGGAAGATTTCAAGAAAAGGAGGTTAACAGGTTAGCAGAAAGGAAGAAGGAAAAAATAAACAGCACACCAAACACCATTAAATTTTCTTTCTGTATTTCATTAAAACCTACTTGAATACACTTTGAAACAAGAGTACAACAAAATAGAATATACTTCAAATGTTGAATATACAAACTATTATAGTTCGTTCTGAACACTGGTACTTCCCTCTTAACTCCAA